CCAATAACTACTAAGTGTTGCTAAGGTAGATGAACAGATCAGTGGGTCATCACCAAATCAATAGGTGACCCAACAGATACCACTTCTAACATCCCAAAATTTCGAATACTTAAATATATCAAAACTAGTGTCCCAAGATCAAATACTTACATTGCAACAGAAGTAAAATTTCTAATCTTACAATTTATGTCACCATCTAATATTACAATCTTGAGGAGCATAATTTTGCTCTATATAACAATGCATTGATCTGCACATATCCTTCTTTGGAGTTAATCTTTATCTCTCTTAATTGCACTTTTCTTTTCACTCTAAAGCCGCCTGGGTAAAAAGTTTTAAAAGAGTTTTGGGTGAGCCTTAAGTCCAGTGAATCCACGGTTTTCATGCATGAACAACTTTTATAATAAACAATTTTCACGAAGCTTCATAAATTTAGCATGTCTTGATGAAAATAATACTTTTCACAAAATAAATATATTATAGTGCGTGTCTACATCACAAAGCAACAGCGTCATGAGAGATGTCTACCTCACACAGCATTACCTGGCGAACTCACACAGCATGTCCGCACTTACGGCTTAGACAAGCTCACAAAGCATGCTCGTCTTTACCAAATCATACCGTATTACATTCCAATTGACACACAAGTACTCAAAACACATATTATAAAAATATCGAATTTTTCACGCATATATAACATATCAAAAATCTCGAGAAACTTCAAACAACTTTTGGATAATAAGGTATGCAACCATTTTAAAAATAAATCACGTGTAACTCACCATACATGGCGTAGCCCAAACCGATCTTTGAAGTGGCTAGCGTCTCCCTGATTGGTGCCAAACTAGCTACAATGTAGAGCACCGTCAACTCTCATTACCGCGTCCACCGTCGCCTTTTCTTACAATAGTTCTCCTTCTTTAACCCCACTACACATAAAACTACAAACTCTCATTTTATACTAAGCCCCTTTGGCGGTTTCATGAAATATGAAACGATAAGCCATAATAAATGGTCTTAGGTTTCATGACTATTGAGTTTACTGTCATTAAATTGCATTAATTTTAGGGTCTAAACCCTTCACTTTGATTGTATTTACACTATAAGTCCTTGAAATTTAACGACTACCAATTCTTTTCCTTTTTTTTGGTTATTACAGAGATTGAAGAATAATTACGAATATACGAAAAGAGAATATACACATTCAAAAATTAAAATGGTTACTTGGTTAAAGTATGCATTCGATTCATATCTTACGGTAAAATTTAATTGAATATTTATGAATAAAAAGAAAGATGGTAGAGGTTTAAATTGCATAACAAGATTTGAGTAGATAAATTTTTTGAATTATAAAGTTATTTTGATTATCTAACTTTGTTCATTTATTTAAAATATTCATTAAAACCAAATGTCATATTGTTTTTATATGCAATATCGAACACTAGTTAATATTATAAAAGAATATGACAATTATAAAGAATCTGATGACAAAAAGGTTGTAACAATATTTCTTGTAAACATAAAGTAATTAAATTATTTATTACATCCAATATGTTTGCTTAATTATATATTTGTTTGTGAAATTAAAATTTTGTTATGATTTATTTGTAAATTAAAGAATAATAACAAATAAATATTCATAAATAACGAATATGAGGAAGGTGTCAGGAAACTTGTATAGTTGTATATATGTGATATGTTGTAGATTTATGTGGGTTGAAAGGTAAAAATGTAAATAGCAAATATCGTCAAATAATTAAATCAAAGAAAGAATTAGTTATCTATACTATTTTATAAAGCATTTGACTAAAACTCTTAAAAACTCTTAAAACTCTTAAACCCGTTCATTCCTAAACGATTTCATCCCATATCTGAATTCATGTAACTAACTGTATATAAACA